CTCAAATTTGATTTTTTTGCGGTTTGAATTATGATTTCGTTTCAGGCTCAGTTCATTGTTCCCATTAAAAGAAAAACAAACTCAACTATTGAACAGAAAAACTGTAAAGGTCACGAAACGTGCTCAATTTCTAGTTCCAAAAGGAGTTTAAAACTCAGATTTGGTAGAAGAAAAAAGTAACCTATTGATCCTTTTTTTAAATCAAATTGGGTTACTTTTATCAAAGAACACCGAGCATGATTTTTGGACCAATTGAGCAATCTCCCCCCATTCTCGCGTGGGGGGGGGGGGGGGGGGATAGCTCAATAGGTTCTTGAGACATGTTTATAACCACTTGAAAATAGTTTGAATGACATGAAATCATAAAAAATATTTTCCAACGAATGTGGAAAGCCTAAATTTACGATGAAAAAGCTCTAAAGTTTCATTTAGATTGAAAAAAGAATCAATAAAACTGGCTTAAAAAGCGACTTTTTACTTTCTTAAAATGACAAAAAAATTTTGCGAACATTATTAAGGTGCTGCGGAGAACCGTTTTTGCTATTGAGATACAAGTCCAGAGCACCAACCCTGGTAAATTGCTTTCTTCGATGAGGCTATGGTCGCCTAAACAAAATTTTGCAAAAAAAAAAAACAATTTTTTTTTTCATTAATTTCGATTTTTTTCAAAATTTTCCTGATGCTCATGTAAGATAAACTTCGTTCGGTCAATTGATTGCGTGCTATAAACACATCATCCATCTACTTGCGGTGCTGTTGTCTTTTTGTAGAGTTTATTCGTTTTTGCAGGGGGGGAGATAGCTCAATTGGTCATTACGAGGGGAGATTGCTCAATTGATCCTGATTTTTTCCAAACTATAGAATAAAATTTTTTAAACTAAAATTCGAATCTTAATCTTCTTTTTCATTTGTCAGTTAGCTATGTTTTGACTAATTATAGGCTTTTTGCCAATTTCTCGCCTGTGTTCGTGAAGTGAAGCTTCGCTTCTGTCTTGATTCTGCAAAATTAACTATAGTCATTTGAATTTCTGTGCTACTGAAAATTTTGTGCTACTGAAAAATAAAGAAAGTGATGAAAGTGGAAAAAATTGAATAACTAAAAAATACTTGAGGTCATGGTGTGTATTATTTTTTCATGATTTCATTTTTTCAGGCAGAATCAGACATCAATACTAGGAGTTATAGAATAGGTCGAGTTAGCCGATAACAGATATAAACGACTTAGCCGAATACTGATTGCATTAAAGACTTAGAATCATTCATATAATTGCAATTCTTGCCTACTTTGTGGGTTTTGTCGTTTTGATCGTGCTTGCTTGAATTTATTTATTTTTTTCAAAAATTTGTTTTCTAAAAATTGAAAGAAGATTTCCCTTCTCAAAGAACTGAAGCACAAAAAAAGTTCAAATCCGTTACAAAATGCAATTAAACGTAAAAGTGGAGAAAAGCTTTAAAAATTTACTATTATTTAAAACCATTTTGCATTTTACTGACAGTTCCGGTGTTTTCTTCTTTGAATTCTATTCGATATTATGTTAATTCACTGTTTATTATTAAAAAATGTTAGCGAATGCTCAGCAAGTAGCAGAAAATCTCTAAGCCACATTTATCATTGCAAAAAGAAATTGTAGGAAAAAGTTACAAGAACAAACATCGCCCTGCGTCATTTTTTCTTATCATTTCGAAAAGTGGTCAGATAAAAAGGTTTTGTGCGGTATAATTATATGTTGCTAGAATTGGCAATTGAACTCTTTGAAAAACTCACGGTAGTGATTATCAGCTAAAACAAATTATTATCAGGAGGAATTATTTGAGCCTTTGATTGGTCTCCTCTGCAGCCTCTGCCGTTTTCTCTCTTTTGTTGGCAAAGTGCTGCTTTGTTGCGGTATAAGAGTTTTCAGTCGGAACAAATCTTTTTAACGATACGATTACAGATTTGTTTTTATTGTTTTTATAAATTAGTGGTTTTTTGTTTACAATTGATTTAATTTGGAACATTATAAATAAAAGTGTTCTCGGGTTGTTTACCCTTCCGATAAGCAAAGATATGGCAATCGGATACAAAACTTTTTTTCCTGTAAAAACCTTTGTTAGCAAAATTGTCAACATTAGAAGGGAAAATTTAGGATCGGTTCATATTAAATTTAAATTTCTTGCGTCTCCAGCAAACTTGGTCCTGAGTTGACGCATACGCATGGGACTACAAAGGTCTGGATCCGAATCTGACCGAACCAATTTTTTGTAAACATGATGTATTCCGTTTCAAAAAAAATTGTTGTCTTATTATTGTTCGCTTATGTTTTTTTGGCTTAGCCGCCACATCGTAAAATTGATTTTTTTTGTACGCTATTTACATTGTAGTTGCTTTTAGCGTTCCGACTTACTTCTGCTGTGTTTTTCATTAACTCTGAACTTGTACATTGTCTTTTTTGTTTATTTTTACTTAAAATTTTCTTCTATTCAAATTTATTACTTTTCGGCTGACTTCAGCTATTTTTCATCAGCTTACTTCGGCTATTTTCTATTTTTCACCGGCTAAGTGTCCTAATTTTGAGTCGTTTAAAGAGAATATAATTTTTATGCTCAACTCTGGACTTCAGAAATTGCTAAAAATTTTTGAATATACATTACAAAAAAGTTGCCAAAAAAATTCGACTTGAGCTGGGACCTGTTTTTTTTTTGCAAACTAGATTTTTTCAATTTTTTCGGACTAATGTTTTTCTTTTGTTTGTCGGCTGAACTCCCGTTGCACCGAGCTCTTTTGGATGGTTTAGTTTTCTTTTAATTTAGTGATTGCTTTTCTAAACCCCATTGGTAGAGGTAATTGACTTACAAGTTTTTTTGCAGAATGTTATCTTGGTTTTAAAAAGTCTTAATGAAAATTTTTCAAATGAAAAAGTTTTTTTTGTTAGTTTTTTTGTGAAATTTTTGCTGCCGTGGTTAATTTGCTGGAAATTTTGAGCTTGTGATTAGCAAGCAATATCATTTTAAAGATTTGATTTTGCCTGTGAAACTTCTGTGAAACCATTTTTTTTGGCTCAGCGGGTGTACGCTCAAGAATGGTCGGCTTTGTTACCTCTGTGTAAGTTTTGTTTCGATGCAAAATTAATTAACAATTGTCTTGTTCAGTTTTTCTAACATATCTAGCAAAGCTATCCTCGAAATTTTCAATGTTTATTTATGATATATATATATATATATATATATATATATATATATATATATATATATAAAAGTCAGAAAAAAAGTCCTCTTTCAAAATTCACATCAAGGAAACTCAACAATGTTTTTACAAAAAACGACAGCCTGTAGCCTTTTTATTTGAAAGAACATGTACAAATTATGTTCATTCAATTGCCACCGTGCTAACCGATTGCTCCAAAAAGTGATAATATTTTCATAATTGGCATTGCGTGTCAGTGGAACATTTGGGTAGAACACTTGCCTTTTTCGATAAATTTAGTGCATTTATGTAGTCATTGCCTATTTGCTTACAAGAAAGAAGAAGAGTTTTTTTTATTCTGTATCTAACTAATTACTGTCTGTACTTGTTGTAAGGTTCGCATTAGGTTTTTGAGAACTTGTCAAGAATGTTTTGCCTTAATTTTGCTGTTTTTTTCTCTAGATTGGGTTTTTGCTGGTATCTCAACTTTTCAGGAGCCAGAGTAAAGCGCCGATATAAGTTTTTGTGAACTTTTTCGAAACATTTTTTCTCACAAATTTTGTTGACTTTTGATTTTTTTTGTTGCTTAGCTTAGCCTTTGAATTCAGTATTTTATTCAGGCTAATCATTAAAAAAGAGAGAACATTGAAGCTATTAATCTCATTGAAAAGTTGAAAACTTTTTTTGCTCGGTATTCTGTTGGCTTTTACAATTTTGTTGGTGTAAAATTTTCCGAAGTGAAAAGATGTGCTATAAAAACTGCACCTATCCAGTTTTTATAGACATCCTTTCACTTTTAAACATTTTACACCAACAATAATGTAAGAGCCACTAAAATGCCGACCACAACTTTAAATCAACAACTTTAAACAAAAAAGACAAAATTACCAACCCAAACCAAATATTAAAACAAGAATAGCCGGTTACAGTCAAATAGCACGGAACGTTTTAGTTTTAATGAAATCAAAAAACTTTCAAATTATGTTCGTTTTCTTATCCGTGGTGCGATGAAAGGATCTGAACGACAAACTAGAACTTACTATTTGACAGCCATAGTAAATTAGAGAAATTGGGCAACAGTTTTTGCAGAAAAAGGACTAGAAAAATGAAAAAATGTATATTGAATTATCAAAAAAATATATTCAAGTTTTTGTGCAGAAATTGTTTGAATTTTTGAACTTTTTGATTCCCAAAATGCTGTCCAAAAAACTCCAAAAAACAAATACAGTCGAGTAAATCATAGTTTTCACGGCTTAAATTAAGCATAAATACGCTATTGTAAGCCTGATTGCTCGCTTTACTCGCTCAAAGTTAGACGAAATATCAGAAAATTCAAACCGATTTTTCTCGATACTGGGGAATCTTTTTAAAATTACGAAAACACACCGGAATACAAAGTTTCTACCCATTTTCAATAGTCGGAACAATAAGTTCTGTTATCGCAATCAATCAAATTGGTGCCCTAAGATTGCTCTATCAACTTTTAATTTCAGCAACTCATATATTTAAACTCACTGATAGCTGAAATATCCGTAGTTCACATAACCGTAATTCAGTTCAAAAGATAAGCTTATTTTTGACCCGAAAAATGAAGGCGTTTACGTTTTTAAATTGATTTAAAATTTACAGATGCTCTGGCTTTGGCAAACATAAGAAGTAGTCTTGTTTTGGTTTCAAACATAATTTTTCAGCAAAAAAGTGAGCTAAATTTTTCACATAAAGGGAGTTTATTTATTAAAAATGTATATCGCATTTCAACGGTAGATGTTTTGTTATCTACCTGGTCCAAATTGGCTTTAATAGCAGAAAAATTAGGAACTGACTGTTGAGAGTCAAGTCCTACTAGAGGGTATTGTTCTCATACTGGACTTAATTGGACTCGAAACAGCTATCGAGAAATGTAAACTCAGTTTTTTGAGCCAATTAATTTTTAATATTTTCCCTGCTTTTTGATCTAGTTGCTAAAACGAATTTCCCTTTTGAATAATTTGAGTTGCGATCCTTTTTGTCGCTCAAAATGGGTTTACTGAAAAACTCAAATTTAGCAGTTTTTCTGAACTTAATATTTGTGGCAAACTGTTGCTATGTATGTGAACCCGACAAAATTCGGGTACCTTCGCCCAAACTAAGAGTTATCAGGTAAGGAAAACAATCTTCACAACAAAGATTAACAGGACTTATGTCCAAATTTGGCTTATGTTGATACCAAAAGCCTTAAAATTAAACAGGCAAAAGAATAATTGATTTTCAGGACAAAAACATGTCCAAATGTACAAAACATTTACTATTAACGCGACTAAATAAAATTTAATACTTAATTATGTTTAGTACTACCACTTAATTAAAATTAGTACTAATTAAATTTAGTACTTTAACTTAAGTATTTCTACAGATCAACTTTCAGGTGTTTCAGATGTCTCCATGATTTTAATGATTATGGTGATACAAAAAAGTCACAGATTTCAGCCGGTCCAATTTTAATATCATCAGAAAACAATGAAGTCTTATAACTAATTTTCAAGTGCCATAGGAGTGTGAAACAGCTCTGAGCTTACTCAAAAGGTCAATAGAATATTGCTACTACAGGGCTTCATTTTAACAACTTCATGAAAGTATCAGGAAATTTGCGTTTTTTTTAATCAGACAAATTTCGACTTTTTAACTAGCCATTTTTGACGGAATTTTTTTTATATCATTTAATAGGTATTCTTGTCTTGAATTGAATTTAAACCTTAAAAGGCAGTCGGAAGTTTCAGAGCTTCGCTCTGATACGAGCATTCTTGTTAATATTGTTCTGACTTTCGATACGAAAGTAACGGAATATTTGTGCTCGGGGTGGGTTTTTTTTCTTCAGACAAATTTCGACTTTTTAACTAGCCATTTTTGACGGAATTTTTTTTATATCATTCGAAAAGTTTTGTTGTCTTGAGCTTAAATTTGAAAAGAACTTTTACCTGTGATCATTTTTTGTAAAGTTATGAGGGTTTAAAGATTGCCATTTTGAACAATTTGGGACAATTAACGTGCGATATAATTCGCGCTATTAGTGCGTAAGCGGAGATTTAATCCGTCTTTTTAATCGTTCCAAATTGGTTGAACGAAGCTTATTTGCCATAATTGATTTGTTACAAGGAACAAAATCTATCTTTTTATACTTTATATGGCGTGTGGGAGGATGAATTTCATAAAAACTTTCAAATTTAAAAAAAAATCATTTTATTTAATTTCATTAAATTTTTTAATGTTATACTGCTGCTCCATAAACCTTAAAAGGCAGTCGGAAGTTTCAGAGCTTCGCTCTGATACGAGCATTCTTGTTAATATTGTTCTGACTTTCGATACGAAAGTAACGGAATATTTGTGCTCGGGGTGGGTTTTTTTTCTTCAGACAAATTTCGACTTTTTAACTAGCCATTTTTGACGGAATTTTTTTTATATCATTCGAAAAGTTTTGTTGTCTTGAGCTTAAATTTGAAAAGAACTTTTACCTATGATCATTTTTCGTAAAGTTACGGGGGTTTAAAGATTGCCATTTTGGCCAATTTGGGACAATTAACGCGCGATATAATTCGCGCTATTAACGCGTGAGCGGAGAGTTAATCTGTCTTAGAAATCGTTCCAAATTGGTTGAAAGAAGCTTATTTGCCATAATTGATTTGTTACAAGTAGCGAAGTCTATCCCTTTATACTTAATATGGCGTGTGGGGGGATGATTTTCATTAAAAAAACTCAAATTTTAGACAAAAAAACTTCATTTTGTTTTATATCATTTAATTTCTTAAATGTTATTACTGCTCCATAAACATTAAAAGGCGGTCGGAACATTCAGGGCTTCGCCCTGATATGAGCACTCTTGTTATTTTTATTATCAATAAAAATTCCATGGGAGAGTCCGTGAGGGTTCATCGACTCTCTGAGATGATTTTCAAGTTGGTAAGTTTCTTATTAAATTTCTGCAGTTGTACTGTACACAATCACAATGCATTTTCCAAGTGTAGGTAACATGTTCATCAAAATATGAGTGAAATAATTCTAGAACCATCGAAGAAAGCCTTTCTTGAGAGAACCAATATCTGTACTGTCAAAATAACTTGTGGTGCTAAATTTGCAAGTCGAGTCGAACGAAACCAGAAGTTCTGTTCACATAGCTTCAACTTTGGGCGTTGTACCTGAAACAAACTAGAAGATAAATAGATCGGAAAAAAATCAAAATTAAATGGCATTTTAAAATGATTCGAATTGCCCTATTTAAATGCCCTATCACTGGAAAAAAAACACACTTTGATTATAGTCGTGAAATTAAAAAATTAAAACAAGGATAAGAAAATGCTACGACCTTGTCGACAAGAACCAGAATTTTTTATAAACTCAGTCAGGGGCAGATCTAGGATTTTCTCAAGGGGGGATGAGGGGAGGGCATTTTTGGTCTCTTTTTGGAAGGTTTTGACCCAAATTTGAGTTTTTTCGACGCGCGCTCTCCCTCAAATTTAAGTTATATTGGCGCCCCCCCCCCAAAAAAAAACAAAAAACTCCGCCCCTGTACTCTGTTATTTTTTTAATCATAGCTTTTTTCATCGCCCAGCAAACTTCTGGGTACCACTCACATTCTCTAAAGTTTGTAGATGTAGAGAAAAATTTGTTGGTCAGGATTGCAATTCAATTAATTATTATAATAATCAAGTCTAAAATTAAACCGACAGAGCAAATTCATTATTTCGTTTGTTTGTCTTAGTTTCGGACCGACAAATAAAATTGTGAGCAGTTCTGAAATGCTGTCAGATTTCATAATTGAGACCAAGGACGGAGTAGTGAGCGAAGACTTGTGTGGGAGCATGTGTCTATTTCATTCCGAGTGCAAGTCGCTCAACTTCAACACGCGAACAAAGAGGTGCAACTTACTAGCCACCGACGTCAACCTCAAAAACATCACAGGTCTGCATCTGTTTATGTTGAAGTAACGTACCTTGAAACTTGAAACAAGCAATGCCCGCACCGAGCGCCCATATATCATAATCGATTATATTGTCCGCTTATAGTCACTATCTATAAAATTACAAAATAAGTGATTAAAGCGCATCAAAAATGGATTGTAATTCTAATGTTTTTTTAATCTCAATATAATCCAATATAAATGATTTTAATTTATTATATTGGGTTTTTTGAGAGTTTATCAATGAATTGTACTGTTTTTTTTTAAATTTCCCATTTAGTGCAGTTGCTACATATCCTGTCTCCTTATTTTTCTACATTTCACACTTTATATTTAACTTTGATTTTAATTTTATTTTTACCAAAATTGCCACTCGCCCAACCACGAAAGCCTCTCCCGTTCAAGTGAAGGGAGTAATGTTTGAGAGTGAAGGGAGTTTAATTGTTGATTCCAATGGTTGAACCCCTGAACCCCCAGTGTATCCCCCCTCAATCCTCCCGCTCTTCACGCGCATATGGTAAATTGGTAAATTAGGGGGGTTCATAACACATTTTGTAAAACTAGAGCGCGGAGGGTAAACATAGGGATGTGGTTTGAAATTGTACCTTTCTTGCTCTTGCAAAACTTGCAAAGTTTCTGCAAAATAAAAAAATTTAGTTAAAAAAAATTGGGGATTATTAATTAAAATGGATTATAAAACATTTTAAAAAAAATAATATTCAATTATAATGGATTATCTTGACAAAAGTGAATTAATTTCAGTGCTAAAAAACGGATTATTTGCGATTATAAGGGATTACAATGATTTTTTTCAGAAAAGAATCAGTAATAAGACATAATAATCGATTTCGTGGTCTACTTTTTGCATTAACGGATAGAAAAATACATACACGGATGGGTCCCAAATCCAGGATTCTATGTATTAAGATTAGGGATAGATTTTCCAAAAACATGTTCAGAAAAAAAAAGAAGTAATACAAAATTAGAAAAATCAACCAATGACGCGGCAGTAAAAAATGTATTTCCTTTCAGCTTAACTATTTTATTTTCACTCTAAAATCAGTTAAAAAGTTGGGAGGGATATAGTTGCATAGTGCCGTTCACATTCACAATTTGTGAACCAATTTTTACAATGTTTAGCAATTTCATTCATTAAAAATTAGATTCACTTTTTGGTAACACAATTTTTCAACGTTTAAAAATTTGTTCTCCCCATTCATGGTTCAGAATTTTGTTCACAAAATGTGAACAGATTAAAGACACGAATAAACAACTAATTTAAAAGAAAATAAAAATTAACCAGTAGAAAGCGAATAATTATGCTTGCTTCTGATAGGTCAATTGAAAACTTGTACTCTGATTGGTCAATTTTGGTGTCGATTTGAATATTTTTTTGTAAGGAGGAAAACATTTTTTCCAAACTACCTCAATTTGTTTGTTGCCTTTATTTATAAAAATTATCACTGCTAAAAACAGTCAACTAGTTTATACATTGAATAAAACTGTTCACATTTGGTGAACAAATATTTTTAAACGTTTAAAAATTTGGTTTCCCCATGCACGGTTACGAAATGTTGTTCACAAAATGTGAACAAAATAAAGACATGTATAAAAAATTTTTAACCGGGAGGGAGTGAATAAGAATGTTTGCTTGTGATTGGTCTATAGAAACGTTTTTTACTGATTGGTCAATTTTTCTGTCGATATGAATATCTTCCTTATAAGGAGGAAAACCCTTTATTCCAAAACACACAAATTTGTTTGTTGTCCTAGTATATAAATTTAAAAGATAAAAAATATCACTGCTAAAAACTGTCAACTAGAAACTGCTAAAAAACTGCTCAAATTTTGTGAACAAAAATTTTTCAACATTAGTAGTTTGTTCACCCCATGTATGATTAAGAAATTTTGTTCACAAAACGTGAACACACTAAAGACATTGTTAAGCAATGTTCAACCAAGAGGATAGGGAGAAATGCTTGATTGGGTTTGGGAAGCTTCGTAATATGTTGAAAAATTTCTCATTTGTTAGCAATAGACTCACATTTTGTGAACATATTTGTTCAACGTTTAATTTTTTTCTTGTTATTTTTAGAAAATGGAATCTTTCACGGTTGACCTTTCCTCAAATGCATCTTTGCACACTTGCACTGGAAACACTCTTTCATCATTCCGCACAGCATTAGCCGAGCCCTGTAGTCTTGAAGGGCAATGGTGTATGAGTCTTACAGAACAAACGTATTCTAAAAATGTTAGAAACCTTAACACTGGGACTTTTGATTTCAACTATTATAATAAATGGTATAGAAAATTATAAATTACTCTTGGGAACTACAAAATTTTTGAAGATTTGATTTATGGCAAGAACAAAGCTATTCATATTTCTCGCGGGCGCTGGAACAAAGACCAGCACATTAATTACACGACTAGCAAAATAAACGAGTCTGGAATCTGGAACCGCAATCCAAAAATTGCAAACTGTTCAAATGATGCGTTTTACATTTTGGGGTTGAGCAGATCTCAAGATAAAATTCGCATGGGTTTAGTTCAGGACGAACTAGCGTTTCCAGTTGGTATAGGATGTTATCATCAAGTATTCTATTATTGTGATTTCATAGAACCACAATATGTGGGTATACAAAAGATCCTATATTGAGAAGTTTTCAGCTGTTCGACTCGCAACAAATGTTCTCGACAATTGAAAATGCCAATTCTTCCACCGGCAGTCTTCATCAAAAGTTTGATAGCTCACAGAAAAAGTTGTGACAGAGAAACTTATACATAATATACTGATGGAAATACGCACAGACTCTGGTGATTTAGTTCTGTTTACAGGTGTTGGCAGAAATTTTCTTACACTCTTGATTCAAAAATCTTAACTTTGGATATTTATTTTGTTTCTATTTTGGTAGGCGTGTATTTAAAACAAAAGATTACATTGTTTGTCTAAACTATATATCAATTTGAGAAGAAAGTTGAACTCATAGCAACAAAAAGCAAGGTTAAGTATTAGCCGTTGTTCAAAAACTCAGTTAAAGCAACAGCAGCAACAGACGACATCAGGATATGAATCAACAAGTATGAAAATATCAGCTGTGGACGACTTGAAACGTGGACGCTTCATGTGATCTTGAGCGTCGTAATGGACGATTTGTCCGATTTGCCATCAAAAGTTATGGTGACAATGACTATCTCTACGTGAAACTATTCAAAATGGTTTCAACAAGAGATTGGATTCGAGTCAATCAAATGAGTCTTACGCTCGAAGAGTTTTCGGCAATGTCGGCTTGAACTGGTTCAGTCAATGAGGATTTGTTAGGGCACGCAGATCTTCAGCGTCGAGGTCGATTCGAGAGCACGCTAGGAGCTCTTTTTAGCAAGCAATCATCGAGACCTTTGGAGTACGATTCGGTGGCGCCAGTTCAGACCAACAATAAGGAAGAGGTCAAGCAGATTACAGCGGTAGACAACATGGATGTTTTCACCCAGTCTCAGGAAGATAACAGTTTTCCAGAAGATGATATCTTGGCGGCCAAAGAATTCAAATTTAGCAAAACGCCAAAACGCTAAGCTTACTGCCGTGTCTAATAATTCGAAAAAAATTTGATATATTCCGGCTGCTCGTTTAAAGGTATTTAAAGGCATTTGATAAATCATCTTTTCTGCAATCTCTTCTTTTATAACTTCTAGCGGCTGAACTATTTTGTTCTCAATTTTGAATGTTCACTGTGATTTTTTTCAGTGCCAAAATGAACAGTTCGCAATCTTTGAAACAAGTCAGAATGAAAACCGTCAGGCCTGCTGACATCGCGGTTGATGGCGAGGTGTAGGAAGAATAATTTTATCACGCAGACAGCGAAGAAGAAGAAGGTGATCACAGCTCGGTGGTAGTTGTTGACGACGGGGAGGAGGAAGACAATACTGAGTAGGCTACATCAATTGGGGTGAATTTGCCATTAAGATCTGTTTTCTTTTTTTTTCTGTACGATTTCCGATACATTTTGAAAATTGTGTTCTAGTCGTGTCACACACATAGCAGCAGGCACAATCAGTTCTTTGAGAGAGAAGCATGACAGAGATAGTTTCATAATTTATAGGGTTATAAAGAAAGAGACGATAAAAACTTCTGGCACTACTGCTCCTTAAAGGAGGGAGAAAGGGAAAAGCTCTCTGTTAAATTGAGAAATTGGTCATTACTAAAATAACAATTATAACAGTTTTGGAAATTGTACAGAATTCTGGCCGTTCCATCGACTTGCGTCAACCGCTCCGTCAAATTGTAGGGTAATATAGGAGACTTTGTAAAGCAGCAGGCTTGACTGACAAAGCCAAGCAAAGAAGAAAGCTCTCAAAAGCACTCCAGATCTCAAATAAGTTTTTTGTTGTTTTTTGGGTTATTTTGGTGGATTCTTTTTATTAGATTGTTAGAAGTTTGTTAAAACATAAAGTTGAAATGTTAAATAATCTTTTTGATTGACCATTTTGATTGACTGTCTTTCTCATTTATTGATCAATCGAACAACCGAACAATTTTTATTATTGCGCTGCTTCTTAGAGAGCTAAAATGAACGCAGTGGCAACGGACAAAATAAATCCACTAACTCCAGGAGCTGGAGTTAGTGGATAGTGGATTCCATGGAGTGATGGATATCAACCCGAGCAGTGGCGTAATGATGAGGGTGAAACTCGAGCTTTTGCACGATCTCAGAAGAGGTCTACTGGCGCTGGCAAAACAGGAATTTGTGTGCAAGAATATAGAACCACCTCAACTCTTCAAAGTGACCCGTTTGACGGCTTATGTATTTGACGTCCAGGCTGAACTGGAGATGTTGAACGACAGCCGAACTGCGTCTCAGGCGTACAAAACGATCGTGGTTTCGTATCATATGAAAAAATTTTCATCATTCGACGGTCAAAAATTACGGACAAAATCTCAAATAAAACGACAGTTGATGCTTCTTTTTGTGCAATTCGAAGTAATATTTTGATTCTTATACTTATT